GCATAGATGTAGGAGCTCTTATCCAACAGTGTTGGCTCATTAGTAAAACTGTGCAGCTGTAGGGAGAGCGCCTGTGAGCTCAGGTCAGGCAGGACTGTCACTGTGACTAAGTTGTCCCCTTTGGCACCCATTTTGGTGGAAATTACTACTGCACTGGGGTGTGTTTACTACCGCTTTCTAACAGCGTGCTGCCTAGATGTGCAGGCCACAGTGTTGGCCTCCTGTGTGGCTTTGCAGTGTAGACAGTCCCAAAGGGATGCAAACGATGGGAAGGAGGAGAGTGTTTGCAGGAGGGTGAGGCTGGGCTAATCCTTCAAAGATTTCTGTGTTGTCCTTTTAGCATGTGGAAAAAATTGCTTGTGGTAACTTCCTCAAAACAACAGAACGAGCTCACGCAAGTATGAACCTCACTCTCTAAGAGCTGGGAGCAGCTGGTCGTGCATCTTGTTTCCTGAAAAGACAAACAAGGCTGGCAGGGGCTGTTTAGACCAGCCTTTCCAAAAGGATTATCTGCACCTCAGTAGTAAGGCAGAGGTGGCCTTGTCACTCAAGCGTGGGCTTTCCCCTTGTGCTGTGTGGGACCGTGCCTGAGGGAAGCAAGGGCTGATCTCAGATGTGCCCTTTGACTTCCAGGTGGGATTGGGTTGCAGCAAGGCCCCTGTCCCTGGGAAGGCCTGGCTGCCATGAATACCTGTTGGTACCTTGAGTCCTGCAATTCAGGACTCTGCTGGTCTGGTCCTACCAGGTGTGGGAACTATCTGCTGATCTTGGGATCTGATGTGGAAGGAAAAGGGTAAGTGATCTGCTTAGGCACTAAAATTTCTTTACACGTTTGTGCAACTCCAAGCAGCCAAATTTAGATTTGAGCTTGTAAAATGAGTGAATATTGGGTTTTGCAAGACAGGTGTTAGCTGCACAGCTGATTCTGGTTGTGGTGTCTAAGAGTGTGTAGTGAGCCTCCAAATTTGAAAAGCTGACCTCAAAGGAATGGAGATGGGGTGGTTACAGGTAGCATAGTGGCAATGTGAAGAGAGCTGCAGAAGCACGTTGTGCATGGATCAATTCGATAACTTGGAAATCGCATAGAGAACCTTGACTGCAAGTGCCAAATACTATTCATAGAAGTCTCAAGATGAAATAACAAATGTGGCTAGCCGGCCTCCTCTCTGCACCTCTAATTTAGGCACACAAAATGACAGGTTTAATCTTGCAGTTGTTTCTGGGCTTGGATGAGGGTGGTGAGGTGCCCCATTGATTGCCTGTGAAGGCCTGAGCAAGCAGTGACATGTCTGATGACCGTGGGAAGCAAATTGTGCCAACATGGGAGCTATTGGTAATGAACATAGTATCTCAGATCTGCAGGCGGACCCTCCAGGTCCTGTGGTTAGCTCAGATCAGACTTGGAAAGGTGTGTCAGGGAATTTCTTTCTTATTGGGATGTGCTGAAGTACCACTTGGGGGACTTGTGTGAATGGCAGTGGTTTTGGCTGTATAGGACTGGGAGACTGCACTTGCCACATGAGGAAGTGGGTTCCTACCTTATTCTAAGTCATAACTTCAGAATTGGGATAATGGCAGACCTGTGTTGACAAACTTGCCCTTTGCTGACAAATCTTAATTTCAGATTAGGAAGTTAAAATTGGTGTACTCCTGCCCTAATGAGCTATATTAATAATTTCTTTGGTTTAGCTGGCAAGTTGGGAGTAATCCAGTTTATACTCAGTTGTTGCCTATTGTTTTTTTTCTCTGAAATTTTTTTCATTCTTCTGTCAAGTTTTGTGACAAGTGACTATCTCTTGCCCTTACGTCACCTCGTCTGGAGTTGTATTTTGGGCAGGGTGGTGGAAGTGGAGCTCACAAGTCCCATAAGACCCAATTTTAAATTTTGCTTGTACTCCTTTTTGAAGCAAGTTGTTTTTAATATTCAAGGATTAGCATGCGGAGCCATTGGATTGGCTCATGGGTTTGCCTTTCAAATTCTTTACATTGGGAAGGTTTTAAAGCTAAGACTAGGAGCAAAAAAGGTGGAGTCTTTTTCAGAAAGTTAGTTACGAATCTCTGAACACAGGTATCTGTTTCTGTGGCAGTAGGTCTATCAATACCAGTGGTATGCCTTGATAGTTTTTGTCTTTTTCTAGTGGAATGAGCGATCTTTTGGAGGCCAGAAGATGCTCGCTGGCAGGAGAATAATTGGACCCGAAGTCTGAGCTACTCCTTTTGTGTCAAGCTGTGTGTTGAACATAGGAGAAAGGTAGACTTTCCACCTCATATCATTGCCACAAATAGTCTGTTGGCAGAGCAGCATGGGGCTTCCACAGACCCTGGAGTGAGAGAAGAAGCTGGAGCAAGCGTGGCATTTTGCTCTTCGTGGGGTGAGAGTGCCAAGATGAATCAGTTAGTGCTCTTGTTCAGTTTCTCTCCCTCTAAAAGACTAGGAGGGGGCAGATTTTTCCACACCACCAAGTGCAGGGTGGGTTTTGGAGGTACAGGTGGATTGATGTAGTTGCCAGTGAAATGGGATGGTCTTTCTTTTCCCTGGTTTTGAGCTCCCTGTGGCTTCCCCAGTCTGGTAAACAGAAAGCAAAATCTCTGACACGGTTTTCTGCTGGTTTCACCTACTGGGCAGGCAGTTGTCATGCCAGTGCTGGTGCAAGGGGAAACGATGGGGGGGTGTCACTGGGATGAGTGGGATGGGGGAGGAAGGAACTGCCCTCCAGAGCATGCAGCTGTAAGATCAGCTCAGCTGTGGTGTAGGACGGCACACCAAGAGGCTCAATATACATCCTCACAGAGCAAAAAGGTACCTGTTGGTGAAAGTAGGTTGCTGAATTGCTGCTGAATAGCTGCATAGCCAAGGTCAAGTAGTGCCTTTTAAGATAGTTGCAATTACAGCCAGCCTGAGCTAAAGCCTGTGCTGAGCAGGGTAAGCACAGCATTGCTAAATTGATGTTTGCTGACAGCAAGTAATTGGTGCCTTATCTAGATTGGAGCACTTGAATGGCACCTCTCTTCCACTTCCTCCTCCACTGTCAAGAATGCGGTTTCTATAGGAATTTAAACCTCTCTTAGTTTGATGGGTTGGGAACTGCTGATATGAGCTGGAATCTCAGCAGTAGAAGCTTTGGATTCTTCTTTCTGGGCATTTGTGAGGCTGCTTTAAGAATAAATGTGCTTTGAAGTATTGTTAAGGAGCCTGGAAGAGTAGATATCCTCCTAGCCTCCCTCACTCCTTCTCCCCCCGGCCCCCCCAACATTAAGTTGGAACAAAGCTATTTCCTTTCCTTACTGGTGCATTTGTAAATGCATTTTTAATTGTATGTTCTTATACGTAACAAAAATCCAGTGGAGTTTTGTAAAAGCCTCATTTCCAGATATACTTATTTTGCAAGGGAAGGGGACAATTTGGTGTTCTCCCTTACTGTCTCAAAGTATCTGGGGTATGTTATTACTAAAAGGGAAAAAAAAGCCCAATTTGTTCCACAGACTGGGATATGAAATCTTCCACTTTTCGTGTCACTGATTTGAAGGCAGGCCAAATTTGGACTCGATGAAGCATGGACGGCTCACTTTAAATGGTGGCACCTCAGCACTGCTTTACCTGTTGAAGCAAGGTGGTTCTCTGTGTGGGGTTACTTCTGTCACCTTCCCTAGTAACCTGGGCCACGAGCTCAGTGAGACCTTGTTTCTTCACCCTACAGCCTCAGGTCTGGTAAGCTGTGTGGTAAGGGTGGCGTGGGGAACCTGCCCTGCCCCAGCTTTTTGTGCACCATGTTGGTATAAATACAAGATGTTCGTCTTCAGGGCAGCTATTAAAGATAGTAGTAATTATTACAATAGTAACTTCTTATGCCGCGTCCATGCCCTTAAGGCAGTAACCAAATATAACTTAGATGATGATAATTAAAAACAGAAGACTGTGACCCAGTAAAATCCATGAGTTTGGCAGGGACAGCAATGCTGAGAAGGAATGTATGCTTTAAATATATAATAAATAAAATCAAGCTGTGCAAATGTAAAGGAAAGAGAATACTTTTGTGTCGGTCAAAACAACCCCAGGGCTGAGAACTGGTTTGGGCTCAGAGATTGAGTCCTTTCACACCACAAACCAGATTTTGTGCAGTGTAATCCTACAGCAACCTTTTGCTTTGGGGTAATTGCTAAATTCTGATGCTTTCTCTGCCAAGGAGTGCTCCCCAAAATATTGTGTCATGTCTGTCTGTCCCCCTCCCTTCCCTTTTTGTTTTTGCTTTTCCCAGCTTCTTGCCACAGAGTCCTGGCAATCTTTGTATCGTCCAAGTAACTCTTCCAGTTGCATTTCTTTTCTTTTCCTAAAAATAGTTAAGATCTTTGCTCAGGGAGGAAAAAAGCAAGCATTTTGGACTACGGTCTCTTGCACGGGTCATTGGTATGCGGGCTTGCGGACCCAGTCATATAAGCTGTTCTATCTCTTGAGATTACTGGGGAGGGTTGCCCTGGTCCACTGGATGTGGTTTCCAATTCAAGCACTGTGGGAAAAATTGACTATTCAGTTCCTTGGAATATGGGGCTGGGACCAGGCTGAACCATCTACCGCTGGATGGTGGAGATATAGAGAACGAGTCAACCTGGAAACAATTTTTGGGAAAAAGCTCCGGAGAAAGTTGTTAAGTGCTCTTACTGGCAGGATGGGAATTGGTGGACAGTGAATATGCATCACAGCTTCTCACCAGTGTTATCTGCTGCTTGCAATCCTCTGTCTTTGTAGTGCTTTGTAATGCTGTGGCGTAGACAAAGTAATCAGTGGATTGATAACTCCTTCTCTGTACCCTAGACATATTTTACTGTGCCTATGTTGAAAACTGAGTAGGATTGCTTCTGTACCTGGGTCCTTGTCAGTGAATTTCTAGCTGTGATGCTTCTCAGTGCCAGTGTGAACCAGACCGTCAGCATCTGTGAATGGGTCCATTTGAACAGCACTCATATTTCATAATACTTCTTGTTTTCTTTTTCATATGCACTAGGTGACTTTGGAGAAGGTGTTGGGGATAACTGTGTCGGGAGGCAGAGGATTAGCCTGCGACCCCAGAACTGGCCTCGTTGCTTATCCGGCAGGGTGAGTCACTAACCACATTCTTCAAAGCTAAGGTAAACCAGGACTGATGCATCAACATAAAGATGGAGGGTGTTTCCACTATGGTCTTCTGTAGGGAGGCTATTTACTGTTCTTTAGTCTTTTAACACCAGAGAATGATGAGAATCAGCACTGTTAGTGTGATTGGCAAGGCAGAGGGATTGCATTTTGCCTGTCAAGTTTTAACAAGATCGCTTTTAATGGAATCCTTCACCTTCCTTGTGCTTTAAGATAGGAGTTAAATACATTGTGGACTTTTTGACTGTGCTCTGTAGTGTGGTGAACTTACTCATAACTCAATGTGATTCTCAAGCCAGTGAGTACCTAATGGAGTGGGTGATGCTTCAATGAATTGACAAAAGCCTTCTTGTGTGTACCCTACAATTTATGACTTACCATGTTCCTCATCCAAATGCGGAGAAAGATTTCAGGCTGAGAGCGCCTTAGATGTGTTGCACTCCAGAGAATCCACATACATCAGCCGCAGTCTTCTAAGTCCAGATAGAGATATCCAGATGGATTACATACATCATACTCCACTTCTAAGTCCAGATAGAGATATCCAGAAGGAGACTTTGATGGACCGCAAAAGAGCTACTAGAGGGAGATAGCCGAGGGCTGGAGAGGTGGCTTTGTGAGTTGCATGTTTAGCAAAATCATAGATGTCTGAGGCCAGATCCTGATCTTGCAGAAGGTAAAGCTCACCCAAAGGGCACGTATCCACGGAGCAGCAGAGCATGTCAGAGTTGCTGGTCTGTGGGATGGGACTTGTCTGAAAGAATGTATTCCCTGAAAAATTTTAAAGGGACTGTGAGAGGTGCAGGTAGAGGTCTCATAATGGATGGCATTTTGAAAAAACTGGAGAGGAAAAACATTTTACCATGCCAGTGGAAGCATAGCTGTTGAGATGGGGTATATCTGTGACTTAGATGAAAAGATATGATGCTGTAGTGGGAATAGATTGGGAAGACAGAATAGAGACTCTTCAGGAAAAGCCTTCACTGCCTAATGTAGCACTACATGGGGATACTCCATCTGGTGGGGTTGCAGAAGTCCGTATGAGCTTGGCTCTTCCTCTGAGCTTGTTTATTCTGCTGGTCAGCAAGCTAAAGGAGAAGAGGAAGGGCAGTATCTCCAAGCGCAGATGTACTATTAAGACATGAAAGCTGGAATTAGAAGAAAGGAACTTCCACAATAATTATAGACAGTGTTTTCAAGCGTACAAGAATGAGGCTAGCAACACTTAAGGATTCTGTTTGTGGCCAAAATGAGAGATGGGGTAAGGAAAACTGGTCAGAAATTTTTGCCCATCCTGCCAATATCCTAGTTCACAGAATTGTTGTGGTTGTGAGGAACCTCTTGAGATCATCTAGACCAACCCCCATGCTCAAGCAGGGCTACCTAGAGCAGGTTGCCCTGGACCATGGCCAGGAATATCTTTTGAATGTCTCCAAACATGGAGATTCCACAACCTCTCTGAGCAGCACGTTCCAGTGTTTGACTACTCTCACAGTAACAAAAATCCCCAAAAAACAACCAAAGAAAAAAGTGGGTTGTTTTGTTTTTTCTTTTATTTTTCCTTTGTGTTCAAATGGAATTTCATGTGTTTTAATTTCTGCCCGTTGCCTCTTTTTCTGTCAGTGGGCAGTCTGTTAAACTGCAGACAATTCGAGATCCACATCGACACTTGGCAGCATTCTTGAACTCTGCTGCTTGAACTCTGTGGAGCCAGGCAAATATATTCCAGTGTGTGTTGCCTCTTCCTCTGCATCTTTTCTGTCACTGAGTGTGTTCATGTGTGAAGAGAGCAAGGAGAGAGAGAAGAAAACAAGTGCAGTAAACAGATGTTTTGGGCTCCTGCATAGCTAAAGATAGACTAGTTTTGTTAATAGCGATGTCCTCTGATGAGCTTGTGTGTGCCTAACGTTGATTTAATCAAGCATGAGGACACCTGGGGATTCTTTTGGGTAATTAAAAGGTTATGTAGTTCCTTAGGGCTTTACAGGGGAATTCCTGTTCTTACTTGTTGGTGGTAATATCTCATGGCCTGCGCAGGAGACCTATGGAATATACCAGATGTGTGTTGTAACAGTTTAATGGCTTATATGACTTGCTGCTTTTGTGCCACGGCTGGCCTGTTTTGTGATGCTGTTGTGATTTGCTGCAGTCAAGACAATCTTGAAGAAAACTAGCATTAGTTTTGGAGTCAAAACATGAGAGGGGTACTGTTGCAGACCTTACTAAGTTGATGCAAGTTCAGCTTGTTGTTTGTGGTTTTTGTTTCCTTTTTTTCCCCTATTCTCATTTCCAGTGAATTTCTCTTGATTTGCACAAATCTTGGCATTTCTGGTATATAGGCTTTATTTTGTTTATTTTTCCTTTTATTTGTTTGATTTTACTGGACACAAAGCTTCTTAAGTGAGGCTGATATAGCAGGCTGGGTATGGCTCATGCAGAGTTGGTTCACGACCTGTCCATGCAGCTTGGTCATCTCTTGTGGAGACCAGTTACAACTGGTCTTCCTCAGGGGTCGGTACTGGGACTGATGATGTTCAACATCTTTGTTGTTAACATGGACAGTAGGATCAAGTGTACCCTCAGCAAGTTTGCTGATGATACCAAGCTATGTGGTGAGGTAGACATGCTGGAGGGGAGGGATGCCATCCAGAGGGACCTGGACAGGCTGAAGAGGTGGGCCCAAGCCAACCTTATGAAGTTCAACAAGGCCAAGTGCAAGGTCCTGCATCTGGGTCGGGGCAATCCCAAGCACAAACACAGGCTCGGTGGGGAATGGCTGGAGAGCAGCCCTGAGGAGAAGGACCTGGGGGTGCTGATGGATGAGAAGCTCAACATGAGCCAGCAATGTGCAATTGCAGCCCAGAAAGCCAACCGTATCCCAGGCTGCATCAGAAGTGTGGCCAGCAGGTCAAAGGAGGTGATTCTTCCCCTCTGCTCTGGTGAGATCCCACCTGGAGTACTGTGTCCAGCTCTGGAGCCCTCAACATAAGAGGGACATGGACCTGTTGGAGCGGGTCCAGAGGAGGGCCATGAAGACGATCAGAGGGCTGGAGCACCTCTCCTATGAAGACAGGCTGAGAGAGTTGGGGTTGTTCAGCCTGGAGAAGAGAAGGCACCACAGAGACTTTATAGCAGCCTTCCAGTACCTAAAGGGGACCTACAGGAAAGCTGGGGAGAGACTTTTTACAAGGGCATATAGTGACAGGACAAGGCGGAATGACTTCAAACTGGAAGAGGGTAGATTTAGATCAGATATTGGGAAGAAATTTTTCACTGTGAGGGTGGTGTTTAAGGAAGTGTTTAAGGCTAGACTGGATGGGGCTTTGAGCAACCTGGTCTAGTGGAAGGTGTCCCTGCCTATGGCAAGGGGGTTGGAACTAGATGATCATTAAGGTCCCTTCCAACTTAAACCATTCTATGATTTTATGATCTTCAGCTGTGCTCTAGGTCCTGCAGTGATTTCCTCAGTCCTCTGCTCATCTACTGCGGTTTTGCAATCCTGACATGCAGATGCTTTGCTCCTCCAGTCTGTCCTACCCCTAAAAGCTGAATTTACCTAACAACTCTGTATTTTCCTAAGAACACTTTCAACATACCTAGATTCATTTGGTTGAGATCAAAACAGTTGCCCCAGGCATCCTGACTACATCCACACCAGGCATATGAATGCGTACGTGAAAGAGGACTTGCATGAGAAGCTTTGGTGCTCTTTGACCAGAATCTTAACTGTGGTCTCTGGTTTGTCTAAAGTAATTTTTTTTTTTTTTTAATGATTGCTTTTCTGGATTTTCTATTTCCTGGAGTTTCTGAATCTCCTGAGAAATTTCTGAATCTTCTGAAAGAAGCAGTTCCTAACGCAACCCAAGCTTGTTCCAACTCCACAGTGGTGCCAAAGAGCTGAGTGTTACATTATTACTTTCTTTCCTTCTCACTGGCTTTTGAACCTTTTACCCTTTCTCTTCTTTGACCCTAATGAGGCTTTTGCTCTGGCAGTGTGCGGCAACAGTTCCCGGTTTTGTTTTGATGGGATGCTTGTGTTATCGGAGGCTTTTTCTTCCATGTCTGCCATAAAGGCTGACGGCAGAGTGCTGCAGATATTCTAGGCCACCAATTTCATGTAAGGCTGTTGCCTTGGGAGAAAAGACAACATAGGAAAGAAAATTACATCCTCTTTGAAGGTCTTGCAACTGCTGCCTGCACTCGCCTGTTCTTATGCTGGCAAGTGAAATAAACCCAAAGTTGCTTAATTTGATCTGTTAGGGTTATGCAGTGAGTAACAAAGTCAGTCTTGTGGGAGGAGTGAGGGGGACAGAAATGTACTGAATTTTTTACTTCTTGTGGCAGGACCGAAGCTCTGTCCTCCTTTTCTTTCAGGTTTTTTTCCCCTTTGCTTTTTCCCTGCCCTTCTTCGTTTTGGTTTATTCTCTTCTCTTTTTTTTTTCTTTCTTTTTTTTTTTCCCCTCCAGTAGCTAGTTGAGGTTCTGTTTCCTAGAAACAAGAAGGGAAACAAAGCTAAGAAAATCCTCTGAGGATGACTAGCATTAAAAAAGGGGGGGAAAAAAAAAAGGGGGGAGTGAGGAGGGGGAAAATGTCTATCCACTTAAATTCTAGACCAGCTGCTCAGATAGCTTGAGTCAGCTTATCTGTTTTGGGGTTGTGTTTGCTGCTGTTTTTTAAGCCTTGTAGGTTGGTGTGACTGACTGATTTATTTTGCTTTTCTACCCTTCTTTCCTTGGCTCTCAGTTGGTCATGATAGCTGGTTGGGAACCTTGTCTTCATGTGAGGCGCATGCCTGCTTGAGGAAGCAGCCTGTGCTTTTTCTTCCATAGGAGCAGGAAAGTAGTGCTTTGTGCTGTTCAGTGTGCAGTGTTTTCTGAACACTATAATGTTGTGTTCTGGCCAGCTTAAGCCTCTCTAGCTCTGCTCAACAATTCCCAGGGACTCTTATAGAAGTCAGGGATTTT